TTATAGATAGATAGGTAATAGATAATTTGATGAAACTCAAGGCCCACTTTTTCCACAGCTTTCCACCAGGAGATGCAATTGAAATCTCTCTAAAAACATCTAGTTAGTGGACCTTATTATACAATTATGTTGTTTTTTTCGGTCAAACTACTGTTTCCAATGTCAAGTATACACATTAATGTTTATTTTCCTTGTTTAAATGTAAAATATCAACTGTATTTTACCTCAGGCATAATGCTTAACTAACCAAACTTGGGGGACAGTTCCTAAAACTGTGTTGTGTTTCAGTTTTCATAAAACAAACAACAAAATAATGCCAAATATATAATTTTTTGTATTAAAATTCTGATATTCATGTCAGTCTTAAAAATCCAGTATCAGTCGGGCTCTGACTGAGTTGTTGTAGTTGATATCGCCTCAAAAACCCCCAGTACATTTCAGGTAACCGCTTTGCACCTGCTCAGTGTGAACACATGTCCTTTAATGAACCAGCACACACATGCATTCAACGAACAGTTACATCATCATCATCTTGCTGATATTTTACTGGTTCAACACCTCCGGGTTTGCAGATTAACACGCTTTTTCCTCCATGCTGCACACAGCCCACCTCCCCCCACTGCTTCCAGGTAGTTTATTATATGGAGCTGGCTGGAGGTGTGTGTGTGTGAGTGAGTATATTGTGTATATACAGTTTGTGTGTGCATGTGTGTACTTCTGACTGTGGCGGTTATTTTTAACTTGCTACGACGAGAGCACTTTCTCCTCGGCTGATGTGTGTGTGTGGAGGCCCTGAGGGAATGTGTGTGTTTCTGTTCGGTCCTCTCTGTGTGTGTGTGTTTTCTGTTTGGTTACTCCCAGTGGACCACAGGCATGTTGGGGTGGTGGATGCTGCTGCTCGGTCACTCATCATGCATCATTACTAAATCATACGTCCTTCCCTGCTCCCACGATGACGCCACAAAAACACTATTAAGGTCACGCTTTTACGAAAATAGACCAGATAGAGGCTAAATCAAACCTTAAACTTTACTCTGGATGGTTCCCCTGATTTTTGTCCAGATTTGTCTTCCAGCTGAGAATCTCAGCTCAAACCAGCTTGTTTAGTACAATGTTGTTTAAAGCTGCTCACCGACCTTTTAGGAGGGTATGTTGTTGTGTTTCTATGTAGGTGTGATAGAAAATGGGTCACAAAGTGAGCTTGTATCTGGACAGCCAGGTTGTCCTGGTTACAGCTCAGTTGAACCGATAAATCATATTGTTAAGTTGCAGCTATGGTTGCTGGTCGGGCTCCTCGCTGTTGTTTCATGGCCTCAGAGCGATCTTCTTAAGTTTTTATTTTCCTTAGATTCTGAGAGAAATGGCGCCGTGTGCTTTCATTGTTACCTCACATGATCTCCTCCATCAGAGCGACTACTACTACGACACCAAGGCGGTACTGGAGCAGCAATGACAGAAAAACTGTAGATATCCTCAGACAGCTTAATGATACCAACATAGTTTGGTTAGAGCTGCAAGAAATCAACAAATTAACACACTGATTGACATTTTGACAATTTAGCAACTATCTTGCTATGCAATTAATCCTTTAAGTAATTCAAGTAGGGAAAAAAGTCCAGAAATTCCCAGTTTTAAGCCCTTCAAAAGGTAATATTTGCTGGTTTTCTTAAGTCTCTAGGATATTAAACTTAAAAATACCTGGGTTTTGGTTGGATAAAGATGTCTAAAATTACTTTCCCTGTGTACAAGAGTACCCTGTGGCCAATGTGGCTGTTTTCAAATTCTTTGTATGTATTGTACAGAGTTATTGTAGTCTTCGACATGTAGAAAATTAGTGAAAAGGTAGTTGTGGAAAAGAAAAGGGAAAGAAATTACCCGCTAAAAAGTATGAAGAATTGATGTAAAGTAGAAGAGGAAAAGCTTTTCAGTCAGAAAGGAATAAGGAAGGCAAGAGAGAGAGGGAGAGCGACTGGGTGTATGGGAATATTGAGCCACAAAGCATTTATGTCAGATCAAAGCTAATCCTTATCTTTGGGAAAAGGATTCAGTAATACCCTGGGCTGTCTCGCCCCCTCAAGGGCAGGTTTTCTTTCTGTGCTTCCTGTGCTTGTATTCGTCTCTCCTCACTTCTCCATAAAACTGCCGGGATTTTTCTGCACTTTCCCTCGACTTTGACTCGGTAACGGTGTGGAGAAAGTAGGTCAGTCGGGGAGTCCAGAGCGAGGAGGCAGGAGGAGTGGAGGGGGTCTGGCCTCTGGACCTGGCCAGGGAGGGAGGGTTTTGCCCGCGGGGCTGGTGGCGCTGCTGCTGAGGGCAAAGGAAGGAGACATGATGCTGACGACCACAGATAAGTTGACTTGACTGTAACAGACTAACGAGGACTTCCTATGCTGGAGAGTTTTAGGCTGTGAGAACAACCTGGTTTTCTTAACTGTCTGAGGCAAAAGTGTTTGACCACCTGTCCCATAAAACAGCATTCTCAGGTTACTTCCTGTGGTATCTAACTCGAAACGTGACTTTTCACCTTGATGAGGCATCTTGGTTTGGTTTACAGTGAGATTCAGTTACATGAAACTGGATCAACTCAAAGATTTTTATTCATTAAGCCATGTAGACAGTCAGGTGGGCACTTAATACTGTAAATATTATATAATCTTCCTGGCAAAGCTTTCAAAATGTCAGTCTTTAACTAAACTCAACTCAAGGTTTTGTCACCCATTCTTCTGCTTTGATAGACTGCTGTTAAATTAATTTGAACATGTAATATGTAACAGCATAATCCAATTCTTCTTTCGTTCTTTGTGGTCCTTAAAATAATTTAAACCGTATAAAACTAAGATTCTGCAGTGATGCTTCTGATACCTCAACTCAAAGATAAACCAGTTAGTAATTTGATACCACTGTTTGCCTTTTTCCCAAATTTAAAATCTGTGTACCGCACTGCGTGTGATTTGTAGGCAAGTGTCTGCATTCATTTGCAGATAACTGAGAGGTGCATCCCTAAAAACTAAACACAACCAATAATGGTTTGGAAAGTAGGTCATTCATTTGGAAATAGTCCAGATTAGAAACGCTGTTTCTTAATTCTGAAAGAAAGTTGGCTCACGAATCTGATCAGTATGTCTCCTGGACGCCTCCCAAGCAGGTATTCTGGTCGGGGCAACCTGGAGGAAACCCGAGGGCAGACCCAGAACATGCTGGAGGGATTATGTATCCCATGTGGCCTGGGAATGCCTTAGTATCCCCCCCACTCCTCAGAAAAGCTGGAGGACGTAGCTTTGGACAAGGTCGTCCTGGATACCTTTAGTCTTCTGCATTGACGTCCAAGACCGAGATATTGATACATGGATTGATGAAATGTTTTCAAAAAGGATTCTGGTTTGATAAGCAGAATCTAGGTGGGATTTAAATTCGATAAAAATGCTATCAAATCCTAAACCTTGTCCTGCTGCAGTTATTTACTGCCGCCCAAGGTCGAATGTGATCATTCTCTCTCCTCCAAATGAACCAAACTAAAGGACTCGAGACTGAACAAACTGCTCCAAGCACGCCTTGTGAACACGCTCTTATCTGTCATTGCCACGTTGGTGTCCCCACAGGGCGCTATGAGCAGTTTAATTGCCTGAGATCTTGTTTTTGATAAAGGACTGAGATGTACGGTGTTGCAGGGCAACCAGTGGTCACCTTTTTCCATTTCTATCACCACTTTCCTCTCCAACTCTCCCCCTCCATCTGTCTCACTCCTCACTCTAGCTGTCTACCCACAGTCGTGCCCGGAGGGACACCGGCTCTGTTGAGATGGCAGCGGAGACACAGAGAAAGGAAAAAAAATCTAGTCGTCTTCCGTCCTCAGCAGTTTTCACACATGACAATTTGGGCGAAAAATAAAATAAAAAGTCGGCTGGGCCCTGTTTGGTATTCATTGTTTCCTTGGTGCTATTTTGACAGGGTTTAATCATCTGTAAAAGTAAACTATCACAGCTTCAGCATGGATTAACACAGTAGACGTGATTATGCAAGAGGAGTAGGCGGAGGAAGAAATTGCTTATGGAGTCTGTGGCCTGAAGGAGACAGTTAAAAGAATTAACCATACTTAACACAGATTCTGAGGCAAAGGGTCTCATGAACTTGCTCCTTCTGCAGTCAGCTGGAGGCTGATGTGTATAATGTTTGCTGTACATAATAATGACTCTTTATCATCCATTATGTTATTTGACCATTGCATTCCCTTCATTCAGGGCTGTATCTTTGCTCCCTGCTGAGGGATCACTCGTCTGTAAAGTGCAATTTGTTCCTCTTACTGAATGTTTGGGATGTTTGGCATCATTTACAAGTGTTTAAAGAACCAAACCAAACATGTTGGCAAGTTTTAGCTCTTTAAATACAAATTATGTGTACTTATGTTTGCTGAATATTTATAAAAGCTGAGTGGGGCTGCTGTGTGTAACACTGTACTTCCGAAACATCTGAAACTTATATGGTCCTTTGAGGTGTACTATGCAGGTTAGGAATAGGGTAGAAGATATGGTGTTTGAGGAAAAGGTTCAAGTTACACATGGTACAGTGGTAGTGAGGGTTGTGATTGCAGGGTTGGAGAGAGATAGAGGTGGTTTTAGGGTGATACCAATACATTGCAATCAGAGAAAGTGATACAGTAATTCATATTTGGTGCACATGGGATAAAATTTAACCTGGTGCACCTAATTTCTGGAAACCTGTATTTCTCTCATCATTAACAGAGTGGTCTAGATTTGCTTAGATGGTTTGAGCTTTCTTTTTACGGCTGCTACTTTCCTTACCAATGGTTATACTTGCAGCACAGTTGATTCCTGTATGTGTGATACAGGACTGATTATATGGATCTGTAAAACGTTTTTGCATGTTAACTTGTTCACATCAAAGCTCAATTTCTCAGCAAAATAAGCACCAAGGTACTTAAAGCTCTAACTGTTGCTGCCCTTCATTGTCTCATCAATGCTTTCTCCCCTCTTCTGTTGCAGGATGAACGACCATGTTGCCACCAAGGAGCTGTGACGGCACTGTGGAGCCACTTTCTTAGCTTCACTTGGAGTTGTGCAACCTTTCTACAAGACCTGTTTGACTTACCTTCTCTGAAACAAATACAGTGAATATAATAAGGGAACACCTTGCCATCTTTTAAAAAAAAAAAAATGGAGACTCTTTCCCAAGATTCGATTCTGGAGTGCCAGATCTGCTTCAACTACTACAGCCCCCGCCGGCGGCCCAAACTCCTGGATTGCAGACACACGTGCTGCTCGGTGTGTTTGACCCAGATGCGCAGCAGCCAGAAGGAGATTCGTTGTCCATGGTGCCGTGGCGTCACCAAGCTCCCTCCGGGCCTATCCGTCTCCCAACTCCCAGATGACCCGGACATCATCACTGTCATCGCCATCCCTCACGCCTCTGAGCACACGCCCGTCTTCATCCGCCTCCCCAGCAACGGCTGCTACATGCTGCCACTGCCCGTCGCCAAGGAGCGGGCGCTCGGCCTGCCTGGGGAGCTGGGATGTCGTTTCCTGCCTGGCAGCCAGCAGAAGGGGGTGACGGTGGTGACCGTGCCCGAGCAGCAGCCTCTGGGCCTGGGTATGGCTCTGGAGGGTGTGGGGGTGGGGCTGGAGGGTGTCGAGGGAGAGAGGAGAGTTACTGGCCCGGTGGGAGGTGGTGGGAAGGGCTCCACGTGGTCCGGCGTGTGCACAGTGATCCTGGTGGCATGCGTGCTGCTCTTCCTCCTGGGCATCGTGCTGCACAACATGTCCTGCATCTCCAAACGCTTCACTGTCATCTCCTGCGGCTGAGGGCGAGGGGAGGCTGCTCGGACTGCCGCGGACCCCCCCTGGATTCCCCCTCTAGCCCTGCCTCTCCTCAGGGCGGGACTCTGCTGAGGAGAGGGGACTAAACTCACATCATGGGCATCTAAGGAAAATACAGAGCAACGTAGAGAGAAACCGATGAAGAAGAAGAGAGCGGGGAGGAGATCCACAAAATGTCTGCCATTGTGTCCCATCTTTTTATTTGGGAGACTGAAATTAAAATGGAAATACAGATAAAACCTTGTCCAATAGCAGTCTGCCGGCCCTGAAAATCCTGCCCTTTTCCCGTCCTTCAATTTTCTCCGAAAAGAACGCTTTTGGGAATTACTCCAGAAATGTTTTTGGCCCGCTGATTTCTTTTTGGCCAGCTGATATGTTTTTTGGCGAAGGGCCGATTTGACACTCGCACTCACGGTCGTTGGATTGCCTGTTTAGTCTGTGGTTTGTAGAAGTACATCAGTTATCATAGTGTTGTTTAGCTGAGTGTAGGTTCCAAGTGCGGGTCTCCAGCCGGTGATGCAGTACAAAGAGTTCGGAATTGGCTGCTCTCCGTTCTCTGATGCTGCAGGAATTAACTGTGCAGGATCCACGTCTGGCTCCTTTTTGAATCATTTGGGAAACTTTAAATCAACGCAGGGTTCATTCTCTCTTTTTTTTTTTATTCCTTTCACACAACCTGTTTCCTTTTCAGAATGAACTATTGCTATGGTGGCTCCATGTGGTTAGTGGTTAGGGATTGTTGTCAAAATAACGCCAAAACATGGATTGTATTATGTTCATTCATGCCAGCATATTACAGGTCTAAACTAAAAACACAGCTACTAGTGAGTTGCTTTATTAAGGCTTAAACGTTGGGATTTGTGCTGAAATGATTAGTCAATTAAGAGATTAGTTGGTAAATAAATGATTTATCATTTATGACTTTTATCAAGCAATCAAGTTTTTTCTGTTTTGTATCATTGTAATTGGGTTTTGGACTCTTGGACACCTTGGGCTCTCAGAACTTGGTCACTTTCTCATTGTACTAAATGTTTAATCTTTTCATTGGTAATGGAAATTATCACTAGTTGCTGTCCTATTTCGAATATGGTGGGAAACTTTGTGTAGCCAAGGATGCTAGCTTCCAAAAATGTACAGGCAAGGTGATAAAGAAATTGCTCAAAATACTGTATTTCTACTCAGAATTTGGTGACAGAATAGCCAACGAATAGTTCGACATTTTGGGAAATACGTTAATTTTGCATTCTGTCCGAGAGTTAGATCAATACCTCTCTCATGTCTGTGCGTTAAGTTCTCTCTAGAGCCAGAAGGTGATTAGCTTAGCATAGCATGGATCAGTATAACACTTTAACAGCTCCTCTAAAGCCCACTTTAGAGGAGCTAGAGGAGCACGATAAAACAACAATGTTGTATCGTGTTTGTTTAATCCGTACAAACATGAATGTAATGTCATGCTAAGCGTTTCATGTTATGCGAGTTACAGCTCATAAACCCACAAATTTACATTTAAAAATGTTTTTGTACAGGTTGAACAAACAGGATAAAACATGTTGCAGTAGTTTGTGAGCTCTGGTGGTGTTTTATGAACTTTTAAAGAGAGCAAAGCAAGCTGTTTCCCCAAGCGGTTTTACAGGGACATACTAGATGCTACAAGAGTTAGCTACAATACGTGTATAACTTCCCATAAAACCACAACTTGTACAAACAAGATAATGCATGTATGTAATTTGTGAGTTTAGGAAGTGTTGGTTGACACATTTTTTGACTTTGAAGAGAGCCAGGCTAGCTACCTTCTTCAAGTCTTAATGCTAAGCTAATCTGAGATAATCTGGCTCTAGCTCTGCATATGTATACTGGTATTGATCTCCAACTCTCGGCGAGAAAGCCAATCAGTGCCATGTCAAACAAGTTGTTTAAATGAACATTAAAAATTGGATATTCAAGGCAACATTCTTGTTTTTAGTTTTTGTTTTTTCCCACGGATGCTAACTGTGTGTTATCTTCAATCGATTGGTCAACCGTCCATCTACTTTTCCCCCTGACCTGCAGACCACCACCGACTCTCCAGCTTTGACCGAGCTCCTCACCGACAGCCCACACACACTATCGACTCCCCTTCATCTTAATACCTTCCTTAATTTAGAAAACTGGTGGATACGGGCTCAACAGTGCCGATGGTGTGTGTTTTATGTGTGTGAGTAATGGGTCAGCAGCGGGTCAAGTAGTGGGCGGACCGTGCAGGGTTCCAGTTAATGACGACTGTATCGATTTATCTGCTTTTTTGAATATCTCTCGCATCTGCAGAGATGGATGTTTTCTCTTTCTTTTCACTTTTATATGTTGAGGCAAGCAATTTGTCCGTTTACTGTATCGTTTAAACCAATGGAGTGTACAGTACACACAAACAGGGTGAACTCTTTTTGTATAGCAGCCTCGTCATGTACAGAATGATTGTAATTTCCTTGTCTTTTTCTGATAACTTTTATTTTTTGTTGACATATTTTACTCAGTTGGTTTTAAGAGTCTGATGTGAGATTAGGGAACTTGTGCTTGCTCCAAGAGAAATAAGTTATTCAGTACACTTCAAGGCACTCAGAGTAATGATGACACACCAGTGACACAACATAAGGAAATAGAGTTTTGGTGTTTTAGTATATAAAGAATTTATATACTATACCAAAATCTATATATTTTATATATATATATATATATATATATATATCCACTTATTCACTTAAAAACAAGTCCTAGACATCTAATCTGTGGATGATCCAGTCACTGGAGGTTAAAAAGGTGACTTTTCCCTTGTGAATTACTAGAGAATATTTACATATCAGCATGATTTTACCGCCTTAAATCAAAGTCTGAGATCTCTACTCAACAGTAATTGTCTTTAAAAATAAGCAAAAGTCTTTGATTTTGTTCAAACTTAATTAATTTTTATTTTGCATCTCATTATATTACGATTTCACCACAGAAAAGACTTTGGACATTTAAATCAGACTTAAATGGATTAAATTAAAATATAAAAAAAACAGCCATTATGCAGCCCAAGGCTTCGTGCACAGGAATATTCTGTTATGAAAGTGTTCGGGCTACAATAGGGCAACTATTTGTTTTGCAAATGCAGTGAGCAACGCAGTCGAGTTCAGCTGAACTGGTTCACGTGGGACACGCTGCTGGTTGCAGCTCCTGTTGTTGCTATGAGACTATACAGAAAGCCCTTTTGAAGTGCAGTGCTTCCTAGCAGAAAGTTGAAATATTTTTAGCTCCGAGGACTCGGCGCTCTGTGGAATAAAAAAAAGTGTTAATTTCTCAGCACTTGAGGTTGAAGTACTTTTTCTGCCGCCGCCCCACAGTTAAAATAAAAAGCGCGTGATGTCTTTTTAAGGGGGAATCTTGATAAAGAAGTTTTTTTAAATAAGGCATGCTTTGTTATTATTGGTTAATGAAATAATACTTAATGCTTTATAAATCACTTATAAACCATTTATACAACCCTTTACTGTAGATTGTAAAAAAAAAAAAATTTGCTGTTGCTGTATCTCGTCCACTGATTCCTTATCAAACACTTAAAACAAATCATAAATAGAACTGGCTAACTCAACCCAAAAGTTGTCATTAATGCATTATTATTGATCTATAAAGCATTGATAACCATTTATAAGGATATTTCCTGTATTGTATACCTTATTAGAAAGTAGTACTAAGAAAGCTTTGACACTGAGAGCACCCAAATTACAAAAGAAAATCCCACATTTTCTCACTTATCCATAAGTGTATTATAATTTAATGTAATGAATATAATGTAGGGATTTAAGTTTTGATTCTTCAAATATGGAAAAAAAAATACAGCCAAGAGCAACACATCTTTCATTTCTGTGTAAAAGCCCTAACTCAATCAGAGTAACATTGTGTCTAGAAAGAGCTGAAACTCCATTTATCTCCAAATCTGGACAAATTAAACCAACACTGTCTGCATAGCTCGATACCACGTAGTGTAAAAGGAAGTGTAACAAGTAATTTGGGTGAACCAGGCCTTTGGGTGTCATCAGCTCATTCTGTTTAGCAAATATTAGCCTGTTAGCTTTAAAAATGCCCCGATCATTACTTTTATTAACCACAATTTCACACTAAAATGAACATTGGTTGCATTTAAACCAATGTTCTCTGAAAAACCACCATGAATCCTCATGTGGTTTTCTGGTTCTTTTAGCTTTATTTTGCTCATAATCCTTTTTTCCAATTGGTCTGATGACCGGATGTGGTTGCTAGGAGATTTCTGGCACTCATGATAAATGAACCTGTCTTTAGTCCTTTCCCTCTGCCAATCCATCATGAATGAGGCACTGCACGTGATGTAACGCCTGTGGGGGGGCGGGGGGGTTGGAGAAAGAAATGCACCTCTTTTGTTCTTTTTTTTCCCACAATTATAGTGTCTGTATAGTGATAATATATGAGATTATTGATCTGAAGGCGGTGAAATCCCATTATTATTCGAATGCAAACACTGTAAAATGCTGTCATGCACAAAACCAAGGATACACACAAGGTTATTCAGATATAGATCAGCCATTTTGGTTGTTGTGTTTCATATTTTTTCCTGTTAAACATAGATCAGTATGAATGAAACCGAATATTTTATATCAGTCTGATCTGAACATAAAGCTCTGTTCCCATTCATCATTTATTTTGTGATTTGACAGAATATCATGCCTCTGACTCTCCTTCCTGTCCTATGTAATATCTGTTTTTATTTTCCTCAAATGAAAAACTGCCCTGAATTTTTACAGAAACTTAAAAGAGTGACGACTAGAGAAGCATAGAAAGGAGGCTTGTCATTTCTGTGCCTGTGTGTTTGTAAAATGCCGTGAAGTTCCTGTTGTAGTTTTCTGTTTGTGTCAGGTCGATGACGCCTGACCACGCAAGCAGCAGCTGTTTTTGGTGAACTATTAAAGCAAATGCTCTGAATCTGAGACTCCTGCGCTCTTTATTTTGAAATGAAATGTTTTATTTGGCAGATTATGGACCCATTTTTTCAGCTTTAACATAAATGTCCATTTGTAGATTAATACTTCTTGACATTTACTTCTTGAAAAACCCTTAAAATGACTCTTTCTTTAAAGAAATTGCCTCTATTGAGATATATATAAAACTTATTCCTTGTAGCTTTATTTATCCAAGTCCCATATTTCGTGGTTGAGTGAACTTGGCTCTACTTGTTTACCCTCAGGAACATCTTTTTCTCCTCAAATATTTATTGATATAGCGAGGGAGGTAATTAAAGCTCTCCTGGGACCAATTGCAGCCGCTCTGCCGCAGCAAAACACCTCTATTCCTCGCAGGCAGCCGCTAATGATGACCACGCTCATCATGGACTGCACAGCCACAACCGGCCATCTCTGCTCACTCCTAATGATGGGTTCTTTACTTTAATGACCACAGAATAGTGTTTTTCAAGTGCATCAATTATCCTTGGGAAAGTATGAACTATATATATTTGCAAAAGGCCGTTCTGTTAGTTACTTCATTTGCTCTTGTGAATAGAAACTTGATTTAAAAAAAAATACAAAAAGATGAATATTGAAAGACACATTACCTGTTTTTAGGGCTTAAACTTGTATTCTTGTCGTCAGGAGACTTGTCCTCAGCTATTGGATAAACAATC